CAAGTATGGACTAAAACCTCCACAAACTGTAAGTGAAATAAACCTTTCCTTCCTTAATTTTGTGCATCAAGTATTTTGTGCCAGCGAGAGAAAAGTAACCAAGACAAGGAGGAATCAAGGCCCTACTTTTCTCACAGCTGAACTCTGAAAAGGAGCAGCCTCAGAAAACATGCTAAAGCCTGGCATGGTGGCACACGCCTGTAATCCCAGCACTCAGGAGGCTGAGGCAGGAGGATCCCTGCAAGTTTGAGGGCAGTCTTGGCTACAAAGTGAGCTCAAGGCCAGCCTGAACTGTATAGCGAGACCCTGTCTTAAAAAGACAAAGAAACAAAGAAAGAAAGAAGGTAAAGGTGCTGAGCCAGTGTGGGAGACCCACAGCAAAGTAGGACTTTGGCTGCGGTGTGTTGAGGCAGGCGGGGCTTGAGACTGTATGTTCCAGTTTATATGACCTGGCCCGGTGCCAGTGGAACAGGTCCAATGACCCCTCATACCAAAGGGCAAAGGACGGTAATAGAGGCCTGAACTTTGAAGTGGATTCACGGTGTATTTGACCTGTGCCAAAACGTCATGAACCATGGGTCCATGTATGCACATCTCCTTCCCCTGCATCTGTCTTCAGCAGGATTTTTTTTCTTTTCCTTTTGAGATAGGGTCTCACTGTCCTATTTCCTGTGCTGCTGCTTAGGAATTTACTCCATGTGTAGTTGTGACTTTTAGTGACACTTTTTGTATACCTTTAGTTGTACCACTTTGAAATAGTCAATAAGTGAGTTCTATAGAAATTGCATAGTAAAGCATTCTATTTCTTTTTTTATCTCACTGTTTTGTACAGGCTGATATTTCTGTGAGCCCAAAGTGGTTTCTTCTTTTTTGTTTTCTTTGTTTTTTGTCTCGTACTGGGAATCGAACTCACAACCTCATGCTTGCCAGGCAGGCGCTGTGCCACTGAGCTAAATACCCAGCCCCCAGCCCAAAGTGGTTTCTTCTCACTTTAGTGACCAGATGGTTGAACCTTTTGCAAATTTACTTCTTCATAGATGTGGAAAGTATCACATTTCTCACCAGAAACAACTCTTGTATTTTCTGGGATCGCAATAATATCAGTGGTGTGGACTTTGGAATATGCCAAGGTGAGGGTGTGGCTGTGGAGTGTGTCAGGGGATCCTTCATTTCTTCATAGGTCTCCTTACTAGCTGTGTCTTCCCACAATTCCACGTTCTTTGCCCATTTCCTCATCTACCTCATAGATCTTGTTTTCTGTTTGGTATTTTCTCTTGTCATTTATATGTTTACTCTTATTTCGAGGTGTTTATTTTTTATTTGGTATAGAAATTCTTTCTGTATACACTGTGTGTGTGTGTGTATATATATATACACACACACACAGTGTATACAGTGTGTATACAGTGTATACAGTGTGCAAACCAGTGCTGTTTGCATTAATGGAAAGATGGAAACTTTATAAGGCATCTTCCAGCCATGGTTACATTTTACCATGAATCAAATTGGGATCTACTTATCTATATGTATTAAGTCATCATTATTTTTCTTTTTCAACACTTTAGGAAAGAACTCTGATGACCAGCAAATTGAAGATAAGTACAGAAATTGTGGGAGGCATCTCAGGTAATTTGTACTCAGAGAAGAAAATTCCTCAACTGTCAGTATAGTAATCCTCAGCAAACTACACAAGCAAGACCAAGTTCAAAGTTCTGTCACGTTAACAAAATTTCTCAGTGGGCATATACACACTGAATATCTCTAATCTCACAATTGATTATTAGAAATATTCCAACATTTGGAATGTAGGTTTTGCTCATATTATTCCAAAACTATCGTCTTTGTGGTAATGAAGTAGAACGAACAGCCCAATGGTTGGTGACTCTCTGTCATCCCAGCATTCTGCCCACTGCGGCAGGAATATCCCCACAAGTTCACAGCTAGACCAGACCACACAGTAAGTTTAAAATTGGCCTTAACTATAGAGCAAAGCCCTGTCTGAAATTTTTAAAGAAGTACAAATTTTGTTCCATGCTCAGATTTAGAGATATATTGAATGAAATTGCATTCAGACACTGAGGACACGAAGGTATAAAAGAAATTTTGGGTATAGAGTGAGAGCTAAGTTCTAATTATATATATATAATTTTATATATTTTAAAAGACCACTTTCATATTAAACAAATTTTATATGATACTATATGTAGTTAAATGTGATGTACACATTCAGTGTTTGAAAAATTGCTAATGTTGCGGATGTCTTCAAAATCCAAGTGAATGCCCCTGTTTTGATCACATTATTTTCAAGCAGTCCTCCAAATCCCACAGTCCATTCATATTTCAGAATATTCAAAAGTGCATCCCCATGTTATTGGTGGGACTGTCAGCGTCTATGGAAATGTGTATAGAGATTCCACAGAAAAGTAGAAATAGACATTCCATGTTATCCAGCTGTATGTGGTCTCACGGTGTAGCCCACATGGGCCTCAAACTCTCAGTGATACTCCTGTCTCAAACTCCCAAGGGATATGAAAACAGGCATTTGCCACCACCCCTGGCCATATCCAACTGTAATTTTCCTGTGTATATTCCCCAAAGTGTTAATCCTATTACAGTCACGCTTAAATATCCATTTGTAGCAGCACAACATAGAAAAGCTAAGCTCTGAGAAAAGCCTAAATGCCTGTTCAGAGATGAGTTGCTTAAGGAAAAATGGGATAGCCTTGGCATAAATGGGTAGGCTGGGCATTGTAGTGCTCTAGAAAGTTCAAGCTGGAAGATCATGCATTCGTGCTCAGCCTGCACCTTTATGATTGATGGACACTTTTTCAAAATAAACATAAAAAAGCACATGCATGTATCTCAGTGCTAAAACCCCTGGTTCACTTTGAAGCACTGAAAAACGTGTGTACACATAGTGGCATAGTCTTCATCCACAAAAGAATGAAGTGATGGCATTTGCCAAAATATGGAAGGATCTAGAGCCCATAACGTGAGATTAATTAAGTCAGGGAGAAATTTCAATAGCACAAGTTATATTTTGCATGAGAATCCCACAGCATGAACGCAGGAGTTAATAGAGGAGTTAATGGAGGAGGAAAAGCGAGGCAGACATTTCTAGTGGGTGAAGAGGCTCAGTGGAAGGGGTGGGGATGGAGCCATGGAGGAAAGGGTATCAAAAATGAACAATATGTGCAACACGTTTCATCAAGATGTGTTCCAGATCCTCAAAATGAAAGTAATTATTGTGTATTGTAAATGGGTCAATTACAAACTCTGAAATACATCCTACTGTTGAGGTGAAAGTTGTGACCAAGCCATCATGTAGGGTCTACAGTTACTGGATGATTAAATATTGTTATGGGGCATCAAAACAGATCTCCTCATGGTGAATCATTACTAACAGGCTGTTAAGTGTGATTGGGTGTTTTGTTTCTCTCCCCTTTTACAGAAGGGAAGAGTTAGAGCAAGCCTGTGATTATACATTATGGTATCAACATGGAGAAATGATTGCTCAGACTGCAGATATGAATGTGCACATGACTATTGCTGATATAAAACCAGGTGAAGGCCTTTGTTCTAGAAGGCTCCTGGTTGGTCCTTCAGCAGCAGATGGACCCATCATAGCTAACACTGCACTCAAACCACATGAGCAGCAGGGGTTTCAAGAGAAGCTGTCTACCTGTGACAAACATGGCACAGCCTGCGCAGAGCTGCAGTCCTTTCAGAAACAGGCAAACACAAGTCCTGGGGAGAAACTCCAAGAATATGCGCCATGTGTGAAATCCTATTCTGATTGCGCTGAAGAAAGTACCATTGAAGAGAAGCCAGATGTAATTTCTTTCATTATACCCAACGATGTTCAAATGGAGGAAAGGAATCACTGTGAAGTGAATATGGATACATGTGTATCATGGCTCAAAGCTTTCAGTTTTCACCAGGAGAGTCAGACACATGAAAAACTTGACTCTAGAGAGAAAAAACCTATGTAGGTAAACACTATGGAAAATCCTGCACTAAAAATTCACTGGGTGATCATGGAAGATCTCAGAATAGGGAGAAATCCTGTGTTTGTAAGCAGTGAGGGAAAGCTTTCATCACATCTCATAAGTGTCAAATACATGAAAGAATTCACACTGGGGAGAAACCTTATGCATGTAAGCAATGTGGAAAAGCTTTCCACACAGGTAGTCTTTGTCAAACCCATGAACAGATTCACACTGGGCAGAAACCGTATGTATGTACACAATGTGGGAAAGCTTTCAGCAGAAAATCAGGTTGGCAAGTACATAAAAGGACTCACACTGGTGAGAAACCCTATGTATGCAAGCAATGTGGGAAAGCCTATGTTGCACACAGAGATTATAAAACACACGTGAAGACTCACACTGGGGAGAAACCGTATGTATGTATGCAGTGTGGGAAAGCTTTCTGTGGAAGATCAGGTTGGAAAATACATGAAAAGATGCACACTTGCAAGGAACCCTATGTATGTAAGCAAAGTTAAAAAGGTTTTGTCACAAATACAGAATGTAAAACATACGTACTCACACTAGGGAGAAACCCGTGGTATGTAAGCAATGTGGAAAAGCTTTCAGTAGACAAGATAGTTGTCATGAACATGAAAGACCCATAGTGGAGAGAAACCTTATGTAGGCAATGTGGGAAAGCTTTCGGCTTGCACAGACATTATCAGTGACATGTAAGGACTCACACTGAGGAGAAACTATTGTGTAAGTGATGCGGAGGGGTAGGGGAAGTAGCTCAGCAGCATAGCATCTGCCTGGCAAGCGTGAGGTCTTCAGTTCAATTCCCAGTATCCCCCCAGAAGCCATGTGGGGAAGTCTTTAGCGTGCAGGTTGTCAGAAACTAAAGAACTCACTCTCCAGGAGTAATCCTATGTATGTGTATAATGTGGAAAAACATTCACCGCACATTGTGTTAAAAATGAAAAACCACACTGGTGAGTAAGCGTTACAGGTGAGCAATGTGAGAAAGCTTTCAGCTCACGTGATCATTGTCAAAGACATGGCAGAGCACACACTGTTACAACACCATGTAAGCTATGTGCGAATGCACTCAGTACACAGAAGTGTTGTGAAGTATGTGAAATAAATTACGCTTCGGAGAAAGTCCGTAGAAGCAGTAAAGAAAAGGCTCTGCACTGAGCAGCATGCACAATACAAAGGGGGAATACCATTAATAAATGAAGTGACTTATGCAAGAATCAGACTGAGGAGAACCTCTTCTAAATAGTATGAAACACTTTCAGTTCACAAGAAGTATCATTACATACCTGAAACAATGCATAGTGAAGGGACTTGGGACATATGTGAACAATGTGGATTTTTAAAATTTTTTAGTTTTTTTTTATTTTTAAAATTTGTTAAAAATTTTTTATTTTTAAAAATTAACTCAGGTACGAGAAAGAACTTGTGATAGGGAACATTTTATATATATATATATGGAAACCCTTCAATTCTTCCACTTACCATGGAACGTATGGAAGAACTCCTACTAAAGAGAAATCCTGCATAAATAACATGAGAAATCACTATGAGAAAACAAAAAAATCATGAGTGTTAGTATAAATACAGAACACGAAAAATCTGCATTTCCACACTACTTTTGAAAAAGCATGGCACTGCCCACTGGAGAAATTCATACCAATGTTTCTTACATTGGAACACCTGTAATCATTTTGTTTTAATTCATGTGTCAGATAAACAGTATTGTGAGAAACCATTATTATAAGGATTGTATACGAGTTATCAGTTGTGATGCGTGCAAAAATGAATATTGTATCAAAACTCTGTGAATGGACAGAGGTTTCGGGTATAACTCGTATTTGCCAAATCTTTTGATCACGTTGCATACAGTTGAAACCTAAAAAATGAATTGAATAAAGACGACATTTCAATTATTTCTCCAGAAAACACACATGCAGAGGAGAGATAGTGTTAACATTATAAGCTTATTCTTAAAGTAGATCTCTGGATTAAATAAGTTTAAGTTCTCTTTTAAGTATTAATGTAGCCAGGAGTACTGGAACATTCCTGAAATTCCAGCACTCAGGAGACTGAACCAGGGGGATCATTCTGAGTTCCAGGCCAGCCTGCACTACATAGTGAAGTGTTATCTCAGTATAAAACGAAAAAGAGTAAATGTGCTCACATAATTATGTAGCATTTTGTATGCAATAGCACAGGAGTTTAATATTGTCTCTTAAAATACATAATTGTCTTCATTTTGGACTACATTAGGTACAAAGGTGAAGTGACTTGTATTTCTTGTATGGAAAGAGGCTCTATTTTGTAGGTTGTTTTTGTTTACTTTTATTCTCTTTTTTGCATTTATTAATTGTGAGGTAATATGACTCCAAAACTGAATTTTCCTCAACTGTTGACATTTTTTCCACTACCTTGTTTTTGAAACTTTGCTTTACACCATTCATGATTCTAGAAAAATTTTTAATATGATGTGATATTTTATAGTTTTATTACTAGTAATTCCTGTACATGTGATTGCCCATCTGTTTTCTGTTTGAAAACATGTTGTTTACATGCAAATTAGCAAGTATCATATGTTTAATGTTCTAAACATATCTGTACATACCCCAACATAATTACAGATTATATGCAGTGTCTAATTTTCCATTTTTCCCTCTTTATCAGAGCCATTAATATCCTGTGTACAAGATCAGTTATTTTTTATCACTAAATTTTACTTTTCATGCTCATACTGCCATGCTTTATTTGAGAGTTGAATATTCAATCCACAATAAAAAAAAATCTATTTTTGTGAGTCTCCACTGGCAGAGAACCATACATTTTCTCAAGATTCAATGCAGTGTAACACCTATCCTGTCCACCAGCTAGAAATGTTGATATAATTTGTCAGCAAAAACTTTCTAGGAGTTTTTGATCATGTTGGTGTTTGTTTGGATAGGTTTCTATTCTTCATAATGGAGCATTTTTTTTTTTAAATTTTAAAAGGTAGAAGGATAACGTAGTAATAGGGGCCTTACCGAATTCCAGACAAAGTGGTAGGAAATTATCAGTTGTTGTTTTACATATTGTTATGTACAAGATAGTTTCTTGG